ACCACCCCACACTGCCCCAGCACCACCAACCATCAGGGGCCGGCCTGCTGCCCCCAGTCCGAACAGGAGAGAACCCTCGAGAAGGAAAAGCCAGAGGTTTCAGAGAGCGCTCAGAGGCGGGGGCAGCTGTGGGACATTGGGGTTCACCTCCCTGAGCCCCCATTTCCTCCTCAGATCCAGACAATGGTAAGGTGGTGAAATCACACGGTGCGAACTAATCAGTGGAGAAACCACTGGCCCCAAGGGGGCGCGGAGCTTCACACAACCTTGCCTTCTTGGTGCCGCTTCACTGTCAAGGGGGGAGGCTTTCCGGACGCTAGAATGTCTGCAAGGCCTAACCCTTCGCTACTCTTTTGTCTGTTCTGGGTTTGTTTTTTTTTTTGTTTTTTTTTTTTGTTTTTTTAAGTTTACTTATTTAAGTACTCTTTACACCCAACGTGGGGTTTGAACCCACAGCCTAGAGATCCAGAGCTGCCTGCTCCCACCAATGGAGCCAGCCCGGAGCCCTGCTGCCCTGCTTTTTTTCTTTTTCTTTTTTTTTTTTAAACAGAGAGAAGTCTCCGAAAATTGGGCTGCCAACACAGTCCAGTTAGAAGGAAAATACCTTCCTTTGCTTCTCATCGTGACGGTCTTCTGTGGCTTCTTTCTTTCTCTTTGCGGCAAATGGAAGTTTTTTCATTTATGGTGATCAGAGACGAAACTAATGCTTCCCTTAAATGCACAAGTAGCCCTCGCGTCCCTTAAATAAATGGACAAGCGATGGGCCTTGGAGTTTTCAAGAGCAAGCAACATAGGTTTGGGGAATGAAGAATTCATTCTAGACGGGACTGCACATAGCAGAGGAGACCCCAATCTACAAAAGCAGAGTGAGCTTTGACTTAAGGACCAGTTTCACAGGGGCGCCTGGGTAGCTCAGTGGGTTAAAGCCTCTGCCTTCGGCTCAGGTCGTGATCCCAGGGTCCTGGGATCGAGCCCCACATCGGGCTCTCTGCTCAGCGGGGAGCCTGCTTCCTCCTCTCTCTCTCTCTCTCTGCCTGCCTCTCTGCCTACTTGTGATCTCTGTCTGTTAAATAAATAAATAAAATCTTTAAAAAAAAAAAAAAAAAGGACCAGTTTCACAGAAGAATACCACCGGGGGTACACGGCTCTGTTAAAAGCTGTAAAGATGCTGAAATAGCGGCGATCAATCCACACCAGGGATGGACGGAACACACTCAACCCGGCTCTTGGCGCAGTGTGTACAGTGAAGGACACATCCTTTCTCATTTCTGAGTCCACCTCCAGGGACCCGGCCTGCCTCAGTTGACCCTGTTGGTCCTTTCACCTATCTCAGTCCCATCCCTAGACCCCCTCATTACCTTCCATCTACTTCCCACTAGTCCTTGTAGATAAAACTTCTGCATGGAATGGTCCAGAACTTAAGCTGTCTAGTCTAGTTGACCTTAGCCACATGTGGCTGGTTACATTTAAATAAATTAAAGTTAAATACAATTAAGAATACAGTTCCTAGATCACTCTGGCCACATTTCAAGTGCTTGGGAGCCACAGGTGGCCAGTGGCTGCCATACTGGACGTGGATATAGAACATTTCCCCCATTGCAGAAAGTTCTGGGGGACAGAACTGGCAGAATCCCCAGTCTGCACTTCTCACCTCCTACCTCTCTTTCTCTATGTGGCCGCTGACGCTGACACTGTTCCTGACAACATCAGCAAGGACCATCATATCCCCAAACACAACGGCCTCTATTCAGGTCTCGTGTGATGATCATAAAATGGCACTGGTCACAGCTCAAAGACTAATTCTAAGAAACCTTTCTGTCCCTTGGCAGGGCTCACCTGCTCCCCTGGCTGCCTTGTCCCTGCCACATCCATAGCTTTTCTCTTTCTCGGTGCCTCCCTCGAGTGGAGGTGTTCCCAGAAGCCCAGACCACATGGCTTCCCTGCATGGATCTCAAAGTTGATGCCCCAGGGGCCAAGAAAGTAATTTAGGGGAAAGAAGCATCAGGTGTGGGAGCGCCCGGGTGACTCGTCGGCTAAGCATCTGCCTCCGGCTCAGGGCATGATCTCAAAGTCCTACGATTGAGCCCTGCGTCCTGCTCAATGGGGAGCCTGCTTCTCCCTCTGCCTCTGCTGCTCCCCTGCTCTGTGGGGAGCCTGCTTCTCCCTCTGGCTCTGCTGCTCCCCCTGCTTGTGCTCGCTCTCTCTCAAATAAATAAATAAATAAAATCTTTAAAAACAAAAAACAATAAAAAATAAAAGTTCTCTTCTGTGCAAAAAAAAAAGGCCATAAAGTTGCTAGCACACCTTCCCCAACTTTGCACATATCCCCCCCCTGACGTTTTACCTTCTACAGTTTCAGTTACCATCTTCAGCTAAGATTTCTTGAATGCTGCACAGAAGTCACAGACCCAGGTCTGCAGTGTCCCCTAGTCCCCTCCAAGGCCCCTGACACGTGAAGGCCCACGCTGAGCTTGGAAATACTCCCCAGACCCACTCATCCTCCTGGATTCCCCATCCTGGGGACAACCCCACTGTCTCCCAGGTCCCAGACCAGAGATGTTCAAGACCCATCCTCCCCTCCTCTTACTCCTCAAATCCAGCAGTCCCCAAGCTCCTGTCCCCATCCCCATCCTGTGTCCCCACAGGGGTAGGCCTGGCTCAGGCCTCTTCCTGTCCCACCCAGACCCTAGCCCAGCCTTTCCTATGGCTTCTTGAACTCCTCTTCACCCTCACACAATCCCCAGAGGCTCTTTCCACACTCAGAGCTGATCCCACCCCTCCCACTGCTTCCCAGCACCCCAGGCCAAGGTCCAGGCTCTTGAGGCCCAGTGACATCTGGCCCGCCCTCCTCCACGGAGACCTCCCGCACCTTGAACTTTGCACATGTTCTTCTCACGCCTTTAAATGCACACTCTCCTCTCCTTGCCGCCTTCAACTGTCAAATGCCAGCTCATCCTTCAAATGCCAGCTCATCCTTCAAATGCCACCTCACCGGTCCCTCCTCCTCCAGAAGCCACCTGTGACACCCTGTGTGCCCTCCTCAGCCACAGCCAGACTGGAGAGGGCCCAGCTGCTTGTCATTCCGAGCTCCCGTCTCTCCGCCTTAGTCCTCATCCCACCAGACCAGAGGTCCCTACACTGCCTTGGCCACACTCCCCACCAGTAAAAAAGTCTGGAGCACTCGCCCCCAATAACGTCCATCTGTTTATTTGGGCATCATTGCAAGCCTTACTGAACTACTATGTTCCCAGGACTCACTAAGTGAGGAATGGTGACATCTCCCATGCCCCCCACAATGGTCTTAAAAACAACTTCAAAGCCAGAATCCACCGGCGAGACCGTCCCTGAAGGCCAGGGGCTCCCCGAGATAGGCAAATGCTGCACGGACCTCATGCAAGTGTCCCCAGCCACCAAGCCCAAGCACGGGGCCTCCCCCAGAAGTAACTGCTACCTTCCAGGGGTCATCGCGGGCATTTTCCAGCACCAACCACATGCTGGGCCCGTTCCAGAAATTCAAGCAAGCAGGTACTTGTTTAAATCCTCACAATAAATGCCCACTCAAGACGTAAGGCCTGGCTTTACGTGCAGGTGAGGGATGAGACCTAGGGAGATGAAAGGATTTACCCAAAGCCACACAGCACCAGTCCCGGGTGACATCTGAACCCTGCCAGGGCCTGTGCTCCTGATAATTACGCTCCCTTGGGAGCACTGAATGCAGGCTTCTTGGATGAATGAATGAACGAACCAACGAATGAATGAAACAAACAGCCAAAAGAAAAAGAAAGTGACGCAAGAAGACGCAGAGAAGAGACACAGGGAAGGAAAGAAACAGAACTAAGCCTGGGGCTTTAACACTGACCCTGCCCAAAGGGAAATTGGAAGAGTCTGCACGGACCCAAACCCTCCCCAAACCCTCCCCCTGGAGAAAGCGCCACCAGGGCACGCCCTTGGAAGTGACCGCAGTGACAGGAGGGGAGTGGGAAGCGAAAGTGGGAGGGGTCAGCGGGCCGGGGACGCTCCGGGGTTGATCCCAGGGGCGAACTCCTCACCCCGCATCTGTGGGGTCAACGATGAATGTCGTGCACGTCTTCTTCTTGAAGATCTTGGGGATCCAGCTCTGGGGACAGGAACAAGGGGTGGGAGGGCTCCAGCTCAGTCCTATGGATCCGAGTCCCCCATCCCGCACCCTTCCCCGGACCCAGGAGTCCGGGACCCCAGCGCCTTCCTCCCCCAGCCTCAGGACTCCCCTAGCCCCCCACTCCTATCTGTCCCCAATGACCCAGGAGTCCGGAGCCCCCCAACCTCCGGGATCCCCCACCCCAACCCCTTCCTTCGTCTGAACCAAGAATCTGGGTCTCCAGCACCCTCCTCGCTGGGAACCCAGAGGCCAAGCCTGGGAGTCCGGCCGCCGTACCTGCTCCTTCTCCGGCCCCACCATGCTGCCGCAGCCGCCGCAACCTAACCGGCTCCGCACATTCCCTCCACCAACCCGGATTCCCTCCACCAACCCGGATTCCAGACCCGCCCAGGAAAAACCGGATCCGCCACTTCCCAGCCGGGGCGGGGCCAGGTCTGGGGGGGAGGGGGGAGTCCTGCGGATGCGAAAACGAGAGGCGGGGCAAAGGGACAGTCGGAGGGGCCAGTCGAAGACCCAGAGGGGGCCAGAGAGCCAGAGAGAGGGGGCCAGAGAGCCAGAGAAGGAGGGACAGAAACCAAGAAAAGGGGTGTCAGAGATCAGAAAGAGACAAATCCAGAAAGAGGGCACAGAGATCCAGAGAAGGAGGGACAAGAGACTGAGAGAGGGAAAAGGAACCAGAGAGAGGAGAACAGGACCCAGAAAAGGGATGTCAGAGACAGGAGAGAGAGAAACGGAGATTGGGGTGGGGAGGGGGGAGACAGAGACCCAAGATGGAATGCCAAAGGTAGGGAGGGGTACATTAATCCATGGTGGGGGGGGTGGCACAAAAACTTAGGGGGCAGAGAATCAGAAAGGGGGTGAACAGAGATTTGGGGGGGTACACTGTCTCAGAGAGAGAAATACAAAGAGTTGGGTGGAGAGCAGACACTCCGAGTGACAGGAAGATAGTAGAATCCTGTGGCTGGGGAACAGTGGGTGGCAGAAATAAGAGAGGGAGTCCCATAAAGAGGGCTGGGGATCCAGAGGGCCAGGGCAATAGTGACAGGGTGAGGAATGGGAGATAGTGACCCACAGACAGGCAGGGCCACGTGTCTCCTGCCAGCTCTGACAGGGACAGCTGCGGCCTAGCTGGGTAACCTGAGCCCCCCACCCCCCCTCGCTGTATTTATAGCCCTGGACTGGCCTGGTCTCCTGCCCTTGGCTCCAGGGACAGCAGGTCACAGGTGTGTGTGCTGGAGCGAGCTCCTTCCACCCCTGTCCAGGGCCTCCGTACTGTCATCCACACTCTCGGCAAAGGCTCCCGCTCTGGCCAGAAACTCCCCAGAATCCAATCCCCAATCCTTCCGTGGCAGAGGTCTCTCCTCTCAGATGGGTCCCTCCAGCCCCCACAGTTGTCTTAGGCTCCCCCCAACTTGGCCCACTAAAAGTCTACCCATTATCTTTGCTGCTACAAAACATGAACTTGTTGGCAACCAAGTCAAGCCCTTTGTCCCCAGTCCTGGCCAGGCTGAGACCCCTTCACCTGCCCCTTCCCCAGCTCTGGGAGGAGGAGGAGCAGGAGGGGAGGGGCAGGCGGGGACTGACCCAGAATAACTCTGGGCAGAAAGTAAATTTAGCCACAGAGAGGGGAGGAGAGAGACCCTATTGGCTGGGAGGTGGGGAGGGAGGGCCTGAGAGGGGGGTGAGGGGGCTCCTGAGACAGCCTCCAGGGGGGTCCAGCAGTGAGGGCCAGGAGGAAGGCAGACAGCAGAGGCAACAGGGGACATAGCAAAGGAAAGACACAAGCAGAAAGAACCAGAAGGACCCAAAAAGGCGCAAAGAACGCAACACTCGTCCACAGAGCCACAGAGGCAGCTGGAGCCAGCCCTGGGAGAAGCTCTGCTGCCTGTCTGTCCCCATGGGCCACCGGGGGCCATGGCTGCACACTTCTCTCCTCTGGGTGGCCGTGGCCAGTCTGCTCCTCCCCCCTGCCATGACCCAGCAGCTGAGAGGGGCTGGGCTGGGCCCCAGCAACTGGAACAACAATGCGGGAGTTGTGGGGCCCTCAGAAGACGTATCTGGTGACTTTGGCCACCCCATGCACAGCCACAGAGGCCACAGAGATGAGAACGAGGACGTCTCCAGGGAGTACAGTCACGGAGACCACAGGTACCAAGTCCACGAGGTCAGAGAAGAGAATATCCCAGATGAGGAGGTCTTCACTGAACATGCTCGGCAGGCTCATGGGCACAGAGGCCATGGGAACGAAGATGTGGATGATTCAGATGAGCCCGGACCCCACTTCCCCAGCCACAGAAGCCAGGGCCACCAAGACGAGGATGAAATTGAGTCCAGCAAGGATCACCATCATACCACCAGGCACATCCATGGAGGCCACGGAGAAGAGGACGATGAAGACGAGGAGGAAGGGGTGGTGGTCTCCACTGAGGATGGACACCAGGCCCACGGGCACGGAGGCCACGGAAGGGAAGAGGATGAAGACCTCTCAGATGAACATCCCCATCACCTCCCCAGCCACGGGCACCGAGACCATGGAGAAGAAGAAGGTGGTGATGATGATGATGATGTCATCTCCACTGAATACGGACACCAGGCCCACAGGCACCGAGGCCACAGGAAGGAAGAGGATGAAGACCTCTCAGATGAACACCACGATCACAGCCCCAGTCACGAACACCGAAGCCACAGAGGAGATGAGGAAGAGGACACGTCCGCTGAGGATGGACACCAGGCCCACTGGCACCGAGGCCATGGGAGGGAAGAGGATGAAGACATCTCAGATGAACACCATCACCATATCCCCAGCCACGGACACCGAGGCCATGGAGACGAAGACGGGGATGAGGATGAGTCTACCGAACAGTGGCACCAGATTCCCAGACATACTCACCTTGGAGATGAGGAGGAAGAGGAAGAGGAGGTCACAGTCACGTTCAGCCACCATGTTGCAAGCTCCCAACACCCGGGCCCCGAGAGCACGGAGGAGGACGACTTTCCAGATGAATATAAGTCAGTAGCCCCTGCCCATGGAGTCCCCAAGGACGAAGACGAGGACATCTCTGACAAGCTTGGTCACCAGGCTCCCAGCCACAGGCAACAAGGCCACCAAGGTGAAGGGCCTGGCCCCAGAGGGTCTGCGGAAGATGCGATTAGCCACCTGCCCCTGGAACACATGGGGGTCAAGGATAGAAGCCATGTGAGGGAGAGAGATTCTGAGGAGGGAGAGGAGGAGGAAGACCGGAGCTCCCACGGGGAAGACGATGAAAGCTTAGAACAGGGAGAAGAAGGCACCCGCCATGGCAGCCTAGATCAGCAGGATGAAGAAGATGAGGAGGAAGGTCATGGCCTCAGCCTGAGCCAGGAGGAGGAGGAGGAGGAGAAGAGGGAAGGGAGGGCTGAGGTTCAGACCCCAACGAGCCAAGACCACCGGGAGGGGGAAGAGGAGGAGGACGGGCTGGAGGAAGAGGAGCTCCCCTTCACCATCATCCCTAACCCGATGGCCAGGAGGGAGGTGGCCGAGGGTGGCTCCAGTGAGGAGCAGAGTGGCGAGGACACGGGTAAGTGGTCTGGCCAGGTGGGGGCAGGGAGGAGCGGCGTCAGCACGCTTCACGGCTGCTCTCCTGTCCCCACAGATCTGCAGGGGGCCCAGGAGTACAGCAACTACCAGCCTGGGTCCCTGTGCGGCTACTGCTCCTTCTGCAATGTGAGTGCCCAGTCCAGGTCCATCTTCCAGGCTGTTCCTGGAATTTGTCCCAGGGTTCTAAGGTGCCTGGGGGCAGCGCCAGGTGAAGGATGCTTCTGGGGCCATGCAGCAGGCAGACTGGAGGCTGGGAAGCTGAGGAGGAGGCCGGGGCAAGGGTCTGGGAGGAAGTGGGGCCTGAGCTGTACCCGCCAACTCAGGGGTGGAGGGGAGGGTCTGTGGCCGAGTCGAGGGTGGGTGGAATGGGCCTGGGGCCTGGCAGGCTGTGGGGAGAACAGGGAGGAGGCATGAAGAGAACACCCACAGGTCCAACCCACAGCGACAAGGGGACCTCGCAAGAGGGGAACAAGGGGGAAGCTGCTGAGCTCAGTGTGGGAGGTAACGAACGAGGGGAGCTGGGGAAATGTCCAGGGGGCAGGGTGAAGGGCTGGCGGGTGGCTCTTAAATGGTTTCCCCAAGCCTGAATCCTCCCGTCCCCAGAGATGCACTGAATGTGAGAACTGTCACTGCGATGAGGAGAACATGGGGGAGCACTGCGACCAGTGCCAGGTGACACCTTCCCGGGACCCAGGTTCCACCAGGCCCCAGGACGGCCGGGGGCCCCCTGGACACCCACAGTCCCAACTCCCGGCCGCTGCCTTCAGACTGACCCAACCCTCTATCCCCATCCCTGGTGCTACCTTGACTCCACGCTCGATCCCGCCTCTAACCTTAACCTCCGCCTAGGGCCCCTGGCCGGCACCCGCCCCCATCCCGGCTCCGCCCCGACCAAGTCTTACACTTGTGCCTCTCCCCATACCCGCCCCCAGCACTGCCAGTTCTGCTACCTCTGCCCGCTGGTCTGCGAAACGGTCTGCACGCCGGGTAAGCCAGACAAACTCCGTGGAGGCAGAGCCCAATCCGACACGCGGGCCTGGGAGGCTGCAGGGCGTGGCTAGGCGCGGAGGCGTGGCCAAGGCTGGGAGGCCGCGGGCGGGGCGGAGCGCGCACGGAGAGGCGGGGCCTGGCCGAGGGAGGGGTGGGGCTAGATACTGAGGCCTACTTAGGCTAGGGGTGGCAGGTTGAAGGATGGGCCTGCTGAAGCAGGTAGAATTGGAAAAAAGGGGGTTTCGGGAGAATGGGAACACCAGGAGCACGGAGAGAGGCGCAGGACCTTGAAAGGAGTCCTAACAGAAGGAATTCAATTTAGGGAAGGAATTAGGACAAGGGGAAGCGGGGGTGGAGGCGGCAGAGCTAGTCTGGATTCCAGGTTCCTCTAATTTCGCCTGTGGTGTACCACTCAAGCCTCTTATCTTTTCTCCCACAGGAAGCTACGTCGACTATTTCTCCTCCTCCCTGTACCAGTAAGTGTGTGGAGGGGGGCAGTCTGAGGGCCCTGTTTAGAGAGGCGCAGTCCCGCTGAGTGATTGGACGACCCTGGGACTCCATTGCCCTGTCGGTAAAAAGGGGCAGGTTAACATCCCCATCGAAGCGCCTGGGGCGAGCTTTGGGCACTTGGGCTGTCTAACCTCGGGTCCTCCTCTCCAGAGCCCTGGCGGACATGCTGGAAACTCCGGAACCCTGACCATGGGGCTGCAGTGCGGACGCACCTGCCTGGCCCTCCGACCCCTTCCCATGAGCCATATTTATTGAATTGCAGTATGAATAAACATGCTCCCCGAAACCTCGTCGTCAGGCGTGGGGTCCGGATTCTCGGGGCACCAGGGAAGGCGCGGGTGGGGATTTGGGACTTAGACTCATGGGTGGGAGGGAGGAGCGATCTGGCCTCCCGGTTTCCTGAGGAGGTCGGTTTTCCTAAGGTCCTGACAAATAAATCAGGCAACACGGGAGCTTTTTGAAACAGTTCTCTTTACCCGTGATCACTGAGTGACGCCTGGGGCAGGGAGGCCGACCAAGAGTCGCGGGCGAGGGCTCCCCCACCGTCCTCCCGCCCCCCACGCCACGTCGCCCAGTGGCATCGTGGAAAGAGGATTCTCCCATGCAAACCCCGGAGCCGGAGGGGAACCGGGAGCGCAGTTCTGCACCCCCTACCCCCGGGGCACGGACACGGCCACAGCACGGGGGGCAGAGAGGCCCCGGGGACACGAGACACTGGGGAGGAAGAAGGGACTCCACCCGCAGCTGACCCCAGGCACCGGCGACCTGACGCGGCGGGGCGGGATTGAGTGGCACATGGGGCGAGGCTTGTAGCAGCGAGTCCCCCCTCCCCTCCTTTCGGACGAAGAAGGAAGACTTGGGCCCCGCGACTGGGGAGGAGAAAGGGGAGCGGGCAGCCTCTCCTAGCATGCGGCCCGGGAGGGAAGCCCCGCTCCCTTCCCGCGGGGAAAGGGCACCCATCTCCCATCGGAAACTGATCAATAAATTACAAAGTAGAGAAAAGGGAGGCGGAAGTTTGGGGCGGGATTTCTTCCTGCCCTCTTCGTTCCCCCTCTCAGTCCAGTTCGTGTGGTTTGGTCCAGGCCCAGTCCTTTTGTGAGGCGGGGACTCGCACTCCCCGCTCGTCTGTACAGATGGTCCAGTCCGCGGCGCGAGCTCCCCCGCCCGCTCTCCCCGGCGAGACCATACTCTGGGCAGGAGGGGGAACAGCCCAGCCTCTGGAAGATTCTTCCATCCGAGTGAGGTCACCTGCATTGACGCCGGGGGCAGTACGTGGAGCCGTGAAGATCCATAGTGCCGCCCCGACCCCCCAAGGTCGCCCAGGACAGTCCTCACCTGGAGGCCTACACTAGCAGGAGTAGGTCCGGACCGAAACGCCGTCTGCCCGGGAGCTCCCAGAAGTCTGGCCTAAAGGGAGAGCGAGCAGTGGTTTGGTCTGGTGCGCACGCGCGTGCCCCCCCCCCCCGCCACACACGCACACACGGTAGGGTTTCTCTGATCCTCAACCCCAAGCGTCCTCTCTTGGATTTCCCTTCCTGCGATGACAACGAACACCCGGCTCCACGCCGGTTTCCCTCCCCTTCCCGCAGCTGCGGATTCATCTAAGGTGCCCCAGGTGACTGTGGGCGGACTCATTTCCCACTTCGGAGAGGGGTGGGGGTTAATCCACTCCACACCCGGAGGGGGGAATTGGCGGACTGAGCAATCCATTCGTCCTGTGTCGGGGAGAAAAGGACTAGGCCATTTCACAGAACCTGGAGGGAGGCTTCTGGAATGTAGGGTTGGTCCTTTTCCCACCCCGAGCAAGGGGAAGGGAGGAGGGGCCGTCGCCCTGGGGAGCCGCCCACCTTCGGGCTGCAGCTTGCGGAGAGGAAGCCCCGGAGATCCCAGGGCCCCCGCTGCGGCCGAACGAAAGTTGGGGGGCAACATCTCAGCTGAGTCGGGGGTTACGCCTCGGAGGTCCTTCTCTCGAAACATCTTCCTCCAGGACGGGGAGCGACTGAAGGACTTGGCGCTATCCTACGTATAGGGGCCGGGCCGGCGATGAGCAACGCGGACGAGTTCAGCCCCTTCTTTTGACTCCGCCCCCCTCGGGTTGCACCTCTCCCTTAGCCCCGCCCCTGCCCTAGCCCCGCCTCCAGCCGCCTCTGGCTGGTGCGGTCAAGCCCCATCCTTCAGCTCAGGCCCCGCAGGTGTCGCTAGCCGCTGAGCCTTCACGGGGTCTGAGCCTCGGGACTGCAGCTGCGCCCACCTCGTCCAGCCTCCTGTCGGTGCCCAAGGAGATGAGGTTGCTGAACTCCTTCTCCAGGAGCTGCCGGGCCTGGGGACGAGAGATGGAAGAAGGGTGGCAGTGTGCAGTCTGCGAGGTGGGGGGGTGCCCCGTGTGCCCCGGGCCGAGCGGCCGCTCACCTGCGCATTCTGTGTGGGGATCTGCAGGAGCAAGGCCAGGTCGGAGTAGTCGAAGGTCTCGTCCAGGGCGAGCAGCGCCCCGTGCACCCCACTCTCCGTGAGGTTCGTGGCGAATTCCTTCAGTCCCAGCCCGGACACCCAACCCATGACCCGCTCGTTGGACCACACCATCACGTCTGGGACAGAAGGGGCTCTCAGTGGCCAGCCGGTCCAATTTAAGCCCCAGGTCTCCTCCATTTCCGTTTTCCGGACCCCCGCCCCCTACTCTGGCCCCGCCCCTCCCCCTCCCTTAATCACACCTCCTCCCCACCTGCCCTAAACTCCTCCACCTGGCCTGGGGAGTGGGGGGGAGGAGACTCCTATGCTTCTACTCACCCCGGATCTGGGTCTGACTCTCTTCCCGCCTCCGCTCCAAGTCCTTTCGGTCATAATTGAGCCGTTTCAGGCACATGATCCCATAATGCAGACTCACCCTGGGCAGTAGGGAAAGCGGGGTCACAGAGGAGCCCTTCACAACTCCAGCGACGGCTGCTGCTTCCCTCCCCACTGGCTGTGGTCTTCTGGGAAAGGTTGGGGAGTTGTTCTACTGGGTCAGTTTTGGGGATCGCTGACCCTCCCAGACTTGGGGTATTTCCAACAGGCAGTTCCTACTGGATAACCAGGACAGGATGTGGGGTCAACGAGCCAAGCTGTCTGAGGACGTGAACTTTTCCTAGCAGGCCGCCTTATTGGCGGAAAGGACACAGAACTCGGGATTTCCTGAGAATCCGGGTGAAAGGGCCACAGATAGTTCCCGTCACCAGTCCCACCGGCCAACGACTCTCTAGGAGCGAGGCCTCCCCTCGGACTGTCCCCCTTGGCCAGGCAGCCCCCACCTGTGGAAGCTGTCCACCATCTTGAGCTGGCCCCGGAGCTCCTTCTTGTTAAGATGATCTAACATGCGGGCGTCCACCAGCGACTCCATGAAGTAGCTGCGGTACTGGGGCAGCCCCAGGCTGGGCAGCCAGTCGTTCCCCACCCACTCGTGGTTCATGTCACCATATGCCAGGATCTGGGGCCATGGGCAGGTGGGGGGAGGGGTCAGGCCCTCTGACCCCTTCCCATGTCCGTAGGAGGGTGCGCTCCAACCCCCTGACCCAAGGTTGTTCTTTCTCCACCCCACCTTAGGGACATCGGTCAACCTCTGCTCAGGACGATGGACCCATCCAGTGGTCTCCTACACCTTCCTAATAACAGAGCAGACCCTTGTCTCCTGGGAGTGTGGGCCCGGGACCCACAGGATCACCATCACCTGTGCACCTGCCGGCACTGCAGCATCTCAGACCCTCCCCCTGCTGGGAAGCAGGAGCTGCTCGCCCACCAGAGCCTCAGGCTACCGGAGCGGTCAGGGGGGAGAAGCACTCGTCCCAGCTCCAAACAATGCATCAGCCCAACATCGCTCTCCCCCAGTCGGGACAACAGATTCTTTCAATGTAGCTGTCCCCACAACACACGATAATGGATCCATCTATCACTCTTGCACGGTCCAAAAATACCAGTCTCATGCTATAGCTATCCCAGGACAGTATTCTGGATTGGCCCAAAGTCCTTCACTCCGTTTAGCGCAAGGAAGCAATCAACACCTTCCCCCACCACCCCCCGCGCTCCCCCGCCCCACTGTGGAAAGGAAGACCCAGGTCCAACCTAGCTCGGCTACCTCAGGGGAGTTCATGCCTCTCCTTTCTTGAGAACAAAGTGTAGCTCTTCCTTCCCCGCCAACTTCTCAGCCTGACCTGCGCGGACCCTCCCCAAGATGCTTCCCCCCCTTTGCCTCAGGACACTGGAACAGCCCCACTCCCCCTCGATCAGAGAGAAAAGGTCTCCCCTAGTTACAGCACTGGAACAGCCCCTGAAGCCCCCGCAACCCACGATAATGGAATGGCCCGAGCCCCACGCTAACGATGGACTAGTCCAGGCTTCTCCACCGACCCCCACCAAGCCACAGTGAGACAGTCCAGAGCCCGGCTCCACGCAGCGGCCCCCCCCGCGGTGATGATGGAACGCTCCGGCGAGGGGGCGGGGCTTGGGGAAAGAGGGGCGCGCATGCAGCGTGCACAGCCTGTTCATGCGTCCACGTCCCACCCCGCGCCCCCTACCTGCTCCCAGCTGATCTCCTTGGTCTCCTGACCCGTTAGTAGGAAGAGGGGAGAGAAGGGGTGGGTTAAGGGGCCGGCGGAGGGCGGGAGGAACGAACAGACTGACGAAAGGACGGAGATTCGCCCCCAGCCCCACTCCTCCCCAGAAGAGTCAATGCCACCCCCAAGGCCACCAGCAGGGGTCACTCACAGGCTTGGTCGTGGCCGTCAGGGACTCCATCTCCTCGTGTGTCATCCACACGTTTCCTGTGGACTGAGGGGCGAGGGGTGTTATGGGGATTGAGAGAAGGCTTCTGGGTGGGGGAGAGATGTTCCTAGAGGCCCAGACCAGGTCCGCTTACATACATTCTGCTTTCTGCCTCAGAAAGGCCCGTCATTGCTGTGAGCCAGGCAGTGAAAGAGAAACGGAATGGTCATTTATTGAGCACCTGCTGTGCACCAGGCAAAAGAACATGGGCTTTGAGGTCTGGCCAGTTCAGGTTTGAATTGAGGGCCTGCCCGGGTGTTTTGCTGTGTGGCCCTGGGCACATCACCTCTCTGACCTCTCGCAGGTGTGTGTAAAGTGACTTTCAGAACGAGGGGGCAGATACAGCAGTGGGGTGGGACAAAAGTTTGGAGGGTGGTAAAGGGGCTGTGTATTCGCATTTACTGAGCACCTGC